ATTTTACAGTAATTTGATATGAAGGAATACTTCGAAGGTTCTTTTGGTTCAGAGGCAGAATTATGGATTATGACTATTTGGAAAAATATAGCTCATATATAGATGAAATATAGAATGAAATACTACACGATTTTCATTATTCTTTTCTTAAAATGAAGACGTTTTACCAGGAACTATCAATGCTGTTTGAGAAAGTACTTCATGAAAACTATTTCCAATTGTTAACGGTTGTACATAACAGACACATGAATATGAATTTTTACATTAACTTACAAATTTCTCGCGTGCTGATTGGTTTATTTTTTATCATCAATAAAAGGACAGATAGATAAAGCTGACGTCGACGAGTGCGCGCTCTTTCCGTTGGTTGCTTTGATCGCTAAGAATGAGAGGTTTTTACCGTTTTTGTTATAGTAAAAAACAAATAGACATCTTTTTTATACATTTCGCCATCACATTGTCAAAGTAGTATCCACACTACTTTCAATGTAATGACGCAACTTTATCGTCAATTAGAGCTGAGGACAGACACATGAAAAACTGATGTCTATTTGTTAAACATCTCAAATAAAGAATCTTACTCTCAAGCTGCTAACGAACACAAGCTGCTAAGTTGTTTATCATTTTCTGTTCGCTTATCAAACTGCATCAGTTCTGTAGCTGCAACATCGTTCTATGCGCTCTTTCTATTTTTACAGTCCTTTGACTAAACGTTGTCGTTGATCGGATCATCCCTACACGCCTAGGCCGAAAGGGATAACTGGTAAATTAACGTGAATGACTAATTGTTCTCTATCAGTCGGTGACAATCGCACAATGGAGAGCAAAATGCACATTTGCCTTCGCGTTTTAAGCAAGGAAAACAAGAGCCGTTAACGTTTCACATCATATTCCATCAAGGATGTCCCAAATATCGACAACGTGCAGGCGCTAAAAGATTATCTGCTTGAGCGTTGTTCAGACGAGCTATCGCCAGCTACAGATAGTAGCTTCGACATAGGTTACTTTGGGGATAAGAGCCAAAAATTAACTTAGTATTTCCAGTCCAGTACAACTTGCTCAAGACGTGTTAGATGACATATGCGGTAGCTAGTAACTGTGAATTAATTATCCCCATGATCCTTTTCGGTCTAGGAGCGTATGGATGAAGCCCATCAAACGACAACGTTTTGCAATTGTCCT